TGAGTAATGCTAGAAATATGGCAACATCGGAAACTCAGTTCGCAACTCCGGTCATTTAAGTTACAAACACCGACAAAAGTAATGATGACAGGAGATTCAATGTCTTCAGGCAGTGAGGCTTATCACAATCCCTTTTGGTGAGGAGTACATAAACGAGTGCACATTATTATTATTATAGTTCTTCGGGTTCCCAGTGGAACATAGGGCTTCAGTAGCATATCGTCATTTCACACTGTCCCCTGCAGTATTCTCGACCTGGCTACACCACTGCCCACAAGCTTTCATTTCCTCCAAACATGATATCCTCCATAAACCCTTGGACGCTGAACTCGTCGTTCCCCCTTTGGGTTACACTCGACAGACTGGCGTGGTGTGTGATGTCCCCAAATGGTCTCCTCAGCGTATGTCCAATTCAATCCATCTCCACTTTCTTATTCTCCACAGTTATTGGGCGATGCGTTCTTGGTTGGTTCGTTGCCAGTCGGCCAGTCACCCAGTCAGTGTTCCTTGTTGCTTATTCCTATTATTCTGGCCTTCTGATCTTCAGTGTCCATATCGAGTGAACATAGACGGTAGCCGTTCATGCATGTCTACAGTTTGTTGGAAATACTTCTGGTAACGTGCCACGTCTCTCAACCATCACATCGAAGCACTGACATGACTGGTACTAGATTCGAAAATCCGGATTTCGTTCTCTGTGCTGAGTTCAGTAGATCTCCACACTGGTTTCAGATTAAAGAAGGCATGTCTTGCTGTCTTTCCGATCCTCGCTTTGACATCCTCATCTGTACACCCGCCCTGTAGTTGAAACGATGCTGCCTGACTAGGTAGGTAGGTGAGAGAGACAACTTCAGTTAGATTTCTCCCGTTGATAGTGACTGGTGCTCCTCGTTGTTGTTATCATTGTTGGTTGGTTGGTTGAGTATCTTCATCACCTCTATCTGCTCCACGTTCACCTGGAGAAAGTCCCGTCAAAGCTGCTCCGCATCACCTCTTCTACCAACCTCTCAGTTTTCGCCTGTACATCTTCCAGTTTGTGCGACATGACATCAGATGATTGTTGGCGGCAACCTTGTCTTACTCCTTCCTGTCTTCACTTCATGGACATTGTTGAGATTTCCATTGTCGAGCACTTGGAGTGTAGCATGATATGACATACAGCTGTTGAATGAGGTTGATACAGGTTTGTGGCACTTAGACCGTAGTGTTGAAGCAGCTGCCTGCCAAATTACTTCTCGGTCGGTCGACGAAGTTGAGGTAGAGAGTTGCCATTCTGCCATTCCACCCTCCGTTATATGATGATGCGTAGCGTGACGTTGCAATTCCATCGGCATATGATTTCTACTTCATCAAGCCAACCAGCCTGTTCCAGTTGGAATTTTGAATTGCGGGCATGTTTTTGGTGTCACCAGGATGATGCGGCTTATATCTTGTTTGAGGTGGACACAGGTGAAGCATGATTCCGCGTCAGTTCTAGCAAAGACTTAGGTCACCCTTCGTCAGGAGATTGACAAGGTAGCCTGTATTACAATCGGTATGCACCTCTCCTTCCTTCCTTCTGAACCATCTGCAGTAGTGGTTTGACCATGTCCAGTGTTCTCTCTGTGTCTGTTTTCAGTGCTCTTGTCGGAATTCTATCTGGTTCGGCTGCTCTCCCGGATTTCAGCAACTTCATGGCGTGGCGTTCAGCACTTCACTTCTGCTTCTGTCGTAGTGTTTGTGTTCACTGATATTTCTGTGACTGTGTGCTGGTGGTGTTTGTGGACGGGTTGCAGGTGATGCTGATGATGATGGTGTTGGTGTTGGTGGTGGTGGTGGTGGTGGTTGATTCAAGAGTCATTTGAAGTGTTCAGCCCATCGCTTTCCTTCCTTCTTCTCTCCAGGGCTAACTAAGTTTCCTTCGATATCTCTCGTTGGTTTCATCTGTGTTCATCTCTTCCCAGAAAGATAGCAACCTGACGATTTGATATGATGTTGTCAGGTCTCTGTCTTTCCAACCTGCTGCCTGTTCTGCTTCAGTTGCAGTTGTGTCGCAGAAGTGTCTTTTGTCTTTCCGTGTTTTCCTCTTCACTTCGTTGTCCAGTGTTTCATATGTCGTAATCAGTTCCTCTGCTTGTTGTTTATCCCCACAATGCACTGCACAGATTCATCTTCTGCTTAAACATCTTCCTCTCCCATGTCTAGAAGCTTTCATGTGTCTGTGGAGATCCATTCCTTGTCTTGTTTCTTCTTTCCTTCTGACAAGGTAAATGTAGCTTTCCTTCCACATCTCTTCGAGAGAGTTCCAGTATTCTTCCATGCAGCTTTCTTCAAAGATGTTGCTCAATATTTCATATTTTATCCGGATGACTAACGTATTTAAAAATTTTATTTCTTTTGAATATTAAGGGAAAATGATTGAATACGGCGGAGAAAGTTGCGTTATGATGATTTATTTGTAAATATGACTTACTATGAAGTTATAGGTTTTTAAGAGTACCGTTTTTTCCTATGAAATCACCTTATTCTATCTTCACGAAAACATGAAATGTACATTTATTTGGAGATTTCCTTTTTAGATCCGTTTTACTTTTCTTCAACAATGAGAATCAAGCATATTTCTTAAGTGATAATTATAATTTTCCATTGATTGTCATGTTTGCCTATCCAGTTGTCAAATGAGTTTTTTGGGGAACTGTTCAATGAAAGAGTTTACAAAATAAGTTCACATTTCTGCAAAACTTTTTATAGATCGAAACATTTTTCGGGAATCAAATGTAAGTATGCCATTTTATGAACAGATAACTTTAAGTCTGGGTTTGGGATGTACTTCATGTACACAAAGTTGCATATAGTGTTTCTACCTTAGGATACTGTACTAGAAAGTTATATGGTACAACTTATATACACAGCAGCGTTCAGAATTTACAACAATATCTGCGGTGCTTATAAAAGCTCGCAACCTCTATTAAGGCAGAAATGAAACAACTCTCGATCAGTTTATTCGAATAAAATTATGGATATGAAACGAAAATTAGGTCATATATGTTAGATTTTAGAAGTAGTATTCATCATGGACTGACAACAGTTGGGTATCCATTGAAAATCGGGAGCACTGGGCAGCTGTTTCCTCCTATTATGAGACTCATCAGCAACAGTCATCCATGACCTGGCTATGGTTCAAACTCAGGACCTTCAAATTTCACGGCGAACACGTTAGCCGTTCAATATAACATGCAGTGACACAACATTAATTACTGGGTAATATATTAAGTATGAATTACTGCTCACAACTTCGTCAAATTAACCACACAACCAGCAACATTTGATTTACTATTCCCATCACCTAGTATTTTATGTTTCTGGTGATGATTCAATGAACAAAGATTCAATATTCAATGCCCCTCTCAATCTCTACCTAGCACTATTAGATTCTTTTTTTAAGCTTGTTTTTTTCACCTAGTTGTATGAGTGAGTGTGAATGCATTGATTACAATAGTCTAGTTTTTCTATATTATTGGTCTCATTGAATATTCCGTTCATCATCTGACTAAATTCCTATGTTCAAATATTCTAACTGGCACTAATAACCCAGTTAGGTTTACTCATTTAATCTAAGAGTCACATTATGGTAGGTGATGGATCAAACTACTTTGTGTAATACAGTCACTGTGATCCTTGAGTCGGTGAAGTTTATCTCTGGGTATGTATTTAAGTTTGATTTCAAACTTCTTGGTGTTCCTCTTTAAATTTCATGTGTTACAAATATATAACACCAACCGCTTCTTCGTCTGTATAAACTTGGTACTACTCGTAATGAAGTAAACTTACGAGTTCGAAAATGGACAAAAGAAACGAATCATTTTGAATTGCAAAGAAAACAATAAGGAGCAGGTAATTAAGACAATACCGCCGACAAGAAAGCATCATACTCCAAGTAAAGCATCATCTTCAAACCATCATACAATGTTAGTCGTTAGAAGCCCATCTACTTAAATGCTTCAGTAATACTTCTGGAAAACTTGTTGCTGAATCATAACACCTAAATAAGATGCAGAAACACTTAAAAAGGAAACACTGATAATCAATAGTTATTCTCTATGCTTTATAAGGAAATTCATGAGAGTACACTAGAAAATAAGTAGTGACAGGATTATAAGTAACGGTAAGAAGAAAAATAGAAAAGATTTTGAGTCATTTATTGTACTAGTCAGGGTAGAATCAAGCTAACATTTAAAACTATACACTCACTCAGAGATCAACTTCGTTGACTAAAAGATCTCAATGACGTCATCAGAAAAGGTAATTTTACTCACCAGTCTGTATTAGATTTAAACTGCATTATGTGATTACAATTCCATCTTCATAATCCCTTGTTTATTTTCCTACCTTACCACACATTCATCCTGTATTGCATAATTACATTTAATTTTTTGGTTGTATTGTGTTCTCTGAGTTGGGTTGTTTAATCGTGGAGCTTTCATCGTCTTGCTAGACGACATAACCAGTACTAGCTTCAGTATGAAATAAGCTGCCAATATCTCTCCGTGAGTGACTTAGTTGCTTGCCCTGACGAATAACCGGTAACAAACCAGTTTTTCAGGGCAAGCAACTAAATCACTCACCAAGAGATATTGACAGCTCATTTCATACTGAAGTTAGTGCTGATGATGTCATCTAGCGAAACGATGAAAGCTTCATGACTAAACAACCCACCTCGAAAAAAGTACAACCAAGACTATTCAGCTGAGCTCCAAATATTCTTCAACATTTAATTTCATAATCTATTTTCTCTTTTCCCACTGTAAACCCCAATGAGCACTAATTAACTTCCTTTACTTATTCGAAATATTACACCCTCCAACCAGAAATTATTCTGTAACATTCTGCTCACTATAACATATAGTCACGAATGTTCAGCTTAGTAAATAACTTCATCGAAAATGAAAATGTTTCTTCACTGAAACCACTTCTTGTCTTTTCCTATGATAAAATGGGTGTATTCCACTGATATAATTTTATTAGGAAGCAAAACTTCGTCATTCATACTTATCATAAATATTATGTACAAAGTTATTCACCTGTCATTTTCCCAAATAAACGGTGGAAAAACAAGTTGATTAGAATAAAAATAAAGTAGTTGAGTGCATAAGTATCTTTCTAAAATGTAATAATTTTTATGATTCTGTTGTTGGATTGCGTTCATCTGGAAATTTCATTCACTTTACCATCAATTTAACATCTGACATTCATCTTCGCAGTCATATTTAAAGCAACTGTTGCATTATTTTACAACTTTCATTTTAATATTCTCAGTCTGATCAGATGACAATTCTTCATCAATTATATCAGCTTCTACATCCTCCACATCATGACTAATTTTTCTATTTTCATTGTTGCTACTAATGTAATTATGAGTAGTAGTCTGAAATGAATGAAAACAGTCTTGATGAAGTGAATGAGAATTTTGACTGTTGCGTTGGTAACGGCGTCTATCACAGTGAGTATTGTATTGTCGTGATTTATTATGTATGCGTCTACATCCATTAAAACAAAAACATAAATTATTGAAAACTTCAAATAGTCCACTTCGAAATGTACGACTCATCCATATGTACACTATAGGATTGTAGCATGTAGCTGACCAAGCACTTAACTGGCATAATAACCAAGTATAAATAATTGTATCTCTTTGAAATGCGTCGGGTTTATTCATTGTAATAAGGTAAATCAAATGTCTAGGTAACTGAGAGATTGCATATAAAGAGGCAACAGTGATCACCATCTTGATAAGCTGTAATAGAGAGAGAATAAACAGTAAGTTAATTCAAAACTTCTGTACTAAATAGTGTATAGCAAGATAAACGAAGAATATTCCAACACCAGGCTTTCTTCGTTTAAAGACTTACCCCTAAGATTCATGTTAGGTGGTATGTGTTATTAGTATCGTAGCTGCAACTGTGAAGCGATTGGTGTTCCTTATAAGATCACAGCCTGCATCACTAAACTATTCCTTGTGACAGTACTCATTTTACCACTAAGTGGCGATAGTTTGAATAACTGAGCAAACATCTACTTCCTGATAGCTGTAGAAGCACGATACTGATGAGCACCAACAAGCATAAAACCCAAGTCCAGTACCTCCTGTGGATTGTCCCCCAACGTCTTGGGAGAAAACAGTGTGTAGTACATTTTCGCATCACAAACAGCGAACTTGTTCTGGTAAATCCAGTCAGGACTTGGCAATAAGGGTGAGATAGCTAAATGACTTACCTACTCGTGACTAAATGGAAAATATCAAAATGTAACGATGAACCCATTCACTTAAATTATGGATAATATAGCACGACTTACTACAAACGTATTCACTTAAATACTAAAGTAAATCGGTTGTCTGATAAACATGAATATGTATGATGTTTATAAATTTTAAGCAATTTTCATGTATGCAGAATGTTGGCAAGTAACTGCAAATATGAATGTACTGGCAGTACATCCAGTTTTCCAATATTTCTTCAACTTATATCAGTCGGTGATGAATATTATTCGGAAATCAATAAAGAAATCCTCATAAACCTCCAAAATGAAGTAATTTCATTACTTTATGAAAGTTGAATTTTTAACTTTGAACTCAACAATTAAGAATTTAGAGTGACTTTTGAAAATGATCACTGTGCTCGTCAACTGCTAAACTGATTTCAATTCCTACCTATAAAACTCATGTATTTAATCAAGTTAGAACAGATTAGTAACTTAAGGAATTTTTTGTCTTCTGAAGTTAGTATCCAATGTCTTCATTAAAAGTTACGGCCTACAACAACCAATAACATTTCAAAACACCCATTTGTCCAATAACTACTAACATTTTAAGAATTTAATGATAATGCCACGGTCTACTGATGTACATTGATCTAACCATATAGACAAACATTAATATTTGTAGACTAACGGTAAACCTGCAAGCATACAGTAAATGAAGTCTACATTTGAATATGAAGTAAATGAAGGGAAAAATATTTATGCCTCAGATAAATTTGATTCAGTTGATTTCTATATTTCTGGATGCTAAATAAAATGACTCTTAATAAAAAGTACAATTGAGCAATGTGGTAGTTTGTAACTTTGTTTTACTCTGTTTATTACGTGTCACACAGTGACACAGTATTATTTACCAGATAAAGTTTTAGGCATATTTTCATGCTAATATTCATACCAGGTAACACGATCCAGTCAGCTGATGACTTGGAAACTGATGAAGTTGAGTAAGCCGTACTGCACTGCAAGATTAAACGAAAGCAAGTCACACTTTTAGGAACTAGCATCTATAGGAAATCTTTCCTATTGAATAGCTGCTTAGACTTCAAATCATTTCCCCTTTTACTCAGTTAAAATAAGCTTGGATAAATGCGGAAGTAATAGAGCAAAAAAGATTACTAATGAGAAACAGAGCCTAAGACAAAAAGTTAGACATGTTAGGAATACTCTATGCTTCCATACTTACACACCTAAATCTATCAGACTCGCTTAAAACATCCTTTATAGGCAAAAAGATCTATTGATTTAGTTAGGCAAAAAATTTAGTTTCCAATTCTTCCAGTGATTGAGTGGTTAAATACAAGGTCAGAGTAGTCAATCAAGGACAATTAGAATAACGGGGCACAAACCTTCGGCCAAATTAACATTAGTAGATAATAATGCAATAAGATATCTCAAGAAAAGCTCAGTTATAACTTCGTATGCAAGTCTACACAATCATATAATACTGTGGGACATAGCGAGATTATTAAAAACTAAGTTGATTGGAGGGAGAGATGGATAACCGAACCTTGTTTATCGAAAAACACCTAATGTAGGCAATAAGACTGATTCTGCATCTGATCATGATGCACAAAAAGTTTTATTACACTTATCACAAAACCCTATCTCGAAGATATCAAGTTACTTGATATGAATATGAGCAACAACTTATCTAAAACGTTATTCAGTAAACAAAGCTGTTTCCTTACATTATACATATATCAAAAAGCCTAAAATGAGTCATTAAGTGGTTGTTCTCTTTATTTGCCAGTGCTCTAATCCTATATTCTATACATTAAAGGATACTGTTCAAAAATAAAAAGTTGTTTTGTGGAGTATCTGCGATAACCAGAGATGATTGAAGGTTTTAACTGTTAAAAGATGGTCAGCTTTGCAAAATCAAAGCTGTGAGTTACGGCGAGATTCAAATCAAAAGCCATCAGGTTAACATCTCAATATTCTATGAAATTTATCAAGTCATAGGTGGTATCAAATATAAAAACAGTTGGCCTTATACTGAGTTAGTTAGTTATTACCAACATGAAGCATGACAGTACTTCATAACTGGCTGCTTTACTACAACTGGCACCAAACTATGGAGATAGAAGACAATTAGAACAAACACAAGGAAAAATGGGAAAAGATATAATGCAATATCGTTGAATAGTCATAAAAAGGAAAGAAAATGAATTAAAGGTAACAGCGAGAAAAAAAAAGGGGATTAAGGTGAAGATAAAGTTTGGATGGATTTAAGCCAATGGAATGCATTCTGTTCCTTATCAGTCGAGTCTTTAACTACCGATTTTGGTTGTAATGCTGACAGAACCAACAGTTAGATCCTTTGTCAATTGATATCACGTCTTAATGTTGTCACACTGAACATTCCTGCAACCCAGATCTGCTTAACATACTACTGATTTCTGTTGGGCATGTAAAGCACATATACGAGCCGATGAGAGTTTTCAAACTCATAACTAACTTACCCCTTCTGTCTATGATCCTGTGACAATTTATACGTCAATAATATGCTGACTAAGCAGCATGTGGCCACTACTACAGACACAACATTACTGAATACCCGATGACTTCTTACGTATCTCATTTTTAATAGCCAGTTTGTACGGTCATGCAATAGAGTAAATGAACTGCTCAGCACACAGTAATAAATAATCTGAAACCACGTGATCTCCATAGACGGTGTAAATTAACAAAAGATAAGTGAGCCTTTCGTATACGTGCAGAGGTTTCGTTAGCCACTGAGCCCTTATGGCTGATGTCACCTTCACAGTAAGTGAAGTGAGTGACGCACTGAACAACTCACCTCCTTAATATCAGATGAGATATCAATTCAGAGCAGTCCTCAACCAAAAATCTGCAGATAAGTGGTGAGAAGCGTATCACAAACACTCCCAAATTTCACCTTACGGTCTAGAGAAATCTTCGCATTTGGCCAACATATTCACCTAATTGGACTATGTCATCCAAGTACTGTAGGCGTACCGAGGTGACCTCAGTGACAAGATCAGCTGATAACAATAGTCCAAGAGAAGAAGACCTCCAAAGGCACAGCCAACGCAAAATTAAGTTCTTGAGCTTCGCTTGCGAGTCTAATAACGATGGAACGTAGAATAAGATCTCGTCATAACTCAGTTTTTCCAATACGATCACCAATTTGATTCGAAATCGTTCAGTATTATTTGGCCGGTAGAATCATGTTGATGTGTATGTCTGTGTGCGTAAATCAATACATAGCGGGAACCACTTCGGCTAATACTTTTAGTGCTATAACTTTATGACATTAAATCAGTTAGAAGGTTATTCAGAATAGACTGCCTATCAGTTTCATATAACGTATTTCTATCACTGACACTGCACTGGAAAGATTCACAGACGTCAACAATCTACAAAATATAACAATTATTTGTTTTGGTTAGTTTGTTCCAAACTAAAGTACAAACATTCAGTCTTTGTTTTTCTCTTTCTATTTTCTTTATCTTCTGAGAAAAAAATCTGTGTTCTGAATAGGATAAAAAGTGGAGAAAAAAGGTGACGTCTTTTATTCTCTGACAGTCGTTTCATAAACCAGACGTTCTGGAAAATAATAACCTTTCTTTCTTGAATTTAGATACACCGCTGAATTGAATAAGTGATTGTAAACAAAAAGAATTTTGTTTTTATGTCAACAATGTTTAGCTTTCCAAAAGCATGATTAATTGTGAGCATGAAGTCAACCACAAACTTCCAACTCTGCCAAGCTGAATGGATGCAAGTTTACTTCTCAAAGATATGCAATCCTAACTACCTGATAAAATCAAAACCAGAAACACAGAAGGCACTGTGTCACCTTCGAACTACATGGAGTAAATATAGGCAGCATAAATTTTAACGACATTTAACATCATCGGATATTGTAATGGCGTTTTACTGCATGGAATTTCTTTGTTCGATTCCCAGTTAAAAAGCAAGCGTTATCTAATTTTAAAAAATTGCTTTAAATCTATCAAAGTTTAAACTAGTTCAACTTGTCATTTCCTGATGTGAATAGCATGTACTACAACTCAAGTACTTCCTAATAATATACCTACTCTCATACAGTAACTAAAAATATATCCAGTATTAAGTATATATCACGACATTTCAGTGATTTTATTTTTGAAAGGGAAACAACAGTTTTGCAAAGTACTTTGAGCTCAGAGAAACCTGAACACTTTTAGAACTGGATATTAAAGTTTATATCACTGAATACGATTCTTCCGTAAATATCCCAACTAGCTAATCCTGATGCTTTCGTTAGCTTTTTTCAATGCACTTTTCGAAAGATATTTCCGCATTAATATCTGTAAAATTTGGTCATTGATATAAAATTTAATTCCACATTAACCTTTTTTATTAGATAAGGTACAAGGTGATTGACTATTATTTACTTGATGATGTTTCGAGCGTAAATGATTTCTCCTCATAAAAATAAAATTATCCACATAGTTCTTGTCGTCTGAT